GGACACTGGGACTGGGACACTGCAGCTCCAGAGGAGAATGGGCTTGGGATACAGGGACTGGGACACTGGGACTGGGACACTGGGATTGGGACATTGGGACTGGGACACTGCAGCTCCAGAGCAGAATGGGCTCAGGACACTGGGATTGGGACACTGGGATTGGGACACTGGGATTGGGACACTGCAGCTCCAGTGGAAAATGGGCTCAGGACACTGGGACTGGGACACTGGGACTGGGACACTGCAGCTCCAGAGAATGGGCTCGGGACACTGGGACTGGGACACTGGGACTGGGACACTGCAGCTCCTGTGGGAAATGGGCTCAGGACACTGGGACTGGGACACTGGGATTGGGACACTGGGACTGGGACACTGCAGCTCCAGAGAATGGGCTCAGGATACTGGGACTGGGACACTGGGACTGGGACACTGGGATTGGGACACTGCAGCTCCTGTGGGAAATGGGCTCAGGACACTGGGACTGGGACACTGCAGCTGGCCTGGCACTCTTTAGGATCTGATTCCTGCTGGAGAGCTGTGTGACATGGAATGAGGCGCTGGGAGCAGCTCCTGGTGAGGAAATGTCACCGTTCTCACAGAGAGCATCCAGCCCTGTGGGCTTAGGGAAGGAGTTGAAGGAAAAAAAAGGCTGATCCATGGCTCATTGTCAGCCAGGGGACTTCCAGGACATGGCTGGGGACAACCAGGAGGGTTCAGAAATTTTCTCTGGGCAAATCATACATAAATCCTCAGCAGAAACCACAGAATGGCTTGGGTTGGTAGGGACTTAATGGTGATCTTGGCCAGGGACACCTCCCATAGCCCAGGGTGCTCCACCCAGCCTGGCCTTGGACACTCCTACGTGGGGCAGAGAAAAAGTGCAAGAAAGATGCACCAAAAGAGAGAAAAAAGCAGGGAAGAGTACCCAGAAAACCATCCTGGAATGGTGTGCTCAGGGGAACAACAAACCCAGATCAGCAGATGCAGAAACAGCGTTGGGAGTTCTCACCTGAACAGGACACGGACCAATTGCAGGAATTTTTATGGATTTTACAGGTCCTTCTCTCCAGTTTATGTTTTGTTCCCACACCAGGAGCCAAGAGCATGTCCCAGGTAAACCCTGAAATTTCCTGTGCCAATTAACCCCAGAGGGTAAAGCAAAGCTCCCAGCAATCTTCCAGAGCTTTCTTCCTAGAGCAAACCCAAGGGTTTTCAGCACGGTTTATATAAATTCACAACAAAATCCTTTATTCGGGCTACTTATTAACTTGGTTGAAGTTTGATTTTCAGAGCAGACACTCAAACCCCTTGAATGAACTCTTCCAACCCATTTCTGAGCAAGGTTCCTTCTCGGAGATGCTCCTCACTGCTCTGTGCAACCCCACTGCATCTCAATTTCTTGATTCAAGTCTTGGGTCAATGCTGGAACCGCACACAGCAAAATTCCACAGGGCCCCTCCTAAGGAGATTATGCAAAATGTCACTTAGCATAAATTCCTATTTGAAAATAGAAGGGTGTTTTACTCAATTTTGCTAACAAAAAATCAGAAAGATATTTTGTATTTCTGATATTAAAGAGAAGCCCTAAACTTTTTCTTAGTCATGCCCTTCTGCTACTGCATATTCCTCATAAATTCATATTTACAATACCTTCTGTTACCAATTTCTTTTATTTCTGAGAACAGAAATGGCTCTGAAATGCTTTTGTTTGCTTAGCAATATCCAGATGCATTAAATTCTCTTACATAAGAGGATTTGTACTTTACATTAAAGTTTTCAGGGGAGAGATATTTAAAAGATTATGAAATATGCTTGCAAAAAGAATTAAAAAAAAAAAAAGAAGAAGAATGTTGGAACACATCCATCAATATTTCAGTATAAATTGTTGAAGCACTAGAATTACACAGTGCAATTATCTTGCAGAATGTATAGCTCCTAGCACTGATCTTTATGTTCAACAGAAAAAATGGTTTAATACATCACAAATGAATGTTCATTAAGTTGTTGGGGAGAATTCTGTCATAATTGAATAATGAAATGACTGCACCTTGAGCATCTGCTTAAAAACTCTCTGCTGCTCTGATGGATCCAGCACAAAGGGTCATTTGTGGGATATTTCTGCCAACACCAAGCTTTGTATAAAGTCAGATTTTTTCTGATTATTATTTTCTGATTATTTTTCTGATTTGTTCTGATTATTGACCACAGATCAGATTTGAGCTCTCCCTGTGAGCAGTTCAGAATATTGAACAAGTCAGCAGCGCTTTTGATCCTTGTGGGTTCCTTTCCCACTCAGGATATTTATTCCAGGATAGTTCATAGGAGCTGGACAACTGGCTCCAAGAAAGGATTTTGTAAAAGGACTTGGATTTCTCTCAGGTTTGAGGATTTTTTAAAAGAAATTAGTGACAATTCTGTTAATATGACACAGAATCTTTATTATTATTATTATTATTATTATTATTATTATTATTATTATTATTATTATTATTATTATCCCAGTGAGCAGTGCCACGCTGTACATGGAATATTGAACAAAATCAGCAGCATTTCTGATCCTTGGGATTGTACCTCAGGACATTCCAGGATCCCTCAGATGAGCTGGACAACTGGCTCAAACACTGGACGAAAGTCTTAGATTTCACCCAAGTTTTGGGGTTTTCAAAAGAAATTAATAGCAATTCTGTTAATATATCATGGAGTCTTTTTTCAGCATTATTATTGTTATTGTGACGGTGATGATGATGAATATTATTATTAATTTCCCCTGCATTCTGCCTTAGCAGCAACAGCTCCCATCCACTGATCCAAAGAGTTTGGTGGCTCAGCCTGGGCTGTGAATTAGAACAGAGCTGGGCAGAGCTAAAGAATAAAGCAGGGATTTATTAAAGGATCTCCTCCATGGATCCACCTTGGGCAGCACCAGAGCCCAGCCAGGGCTGCACCCAAGATGAACCAAAATGGCCCAAAATGAACCCAAGATGAACCTAAATGGTCCCAAAATGAACTCAAGATGAACCCAAATGGGCACAAAATGAACCCAAGATGACCCAAAATATTTCCAAAATGCACGAGCGCTCCCGGGGCTCTCCCTGGGATCAGTTCTGCTCCATTGGCACCTTGGAGTTCATTGTCCCATTCCAGCTCCAGCCCATCAGTCCCACCCTGCTTGTTTTTCTCTCTCCAGCCCACGGTGTTTGTGCTCCTGGGCTGAGGTTTGGATCATTTGTCCTTGGTGCCCAGCTGGAGCAGGAATTGTTTTGTGTCCCTGCTCTGTGCAGAGGGCTCAGCATCCCCTATGTGAAGCTCAGAATTACACACTGAAGCAGCACAGAATGTGAAAAATAGAAAAGCCAAACCTGAGGCATCACTCTACATTTAAGCTGCCGAACAGGGCCAGCCTTTGGGGTAACGGGGTGACACAAGGAGAGCCCCGCCAAAAAACCCCCGTGGTCAGTTTGGGCTCTGTGGATGTTCAGGACGACTGTTCCCTGGCAGTAAATATGCAAAGTTCCCCCTGGCACACAAAGGGAGCAGTTTTCCGCTGCTGTAGATCAGGCCGTGGATAATCAGCCCGCTATTCACTTCCCCGCCGCTGCGGAAGCGCAATCAGGAAAGCATTATGAGCAAAAACCTGCCCTGCAGGGATAGACTTGCTTTAATAATGTTTATGACTTGTCCATATTGTATTTATGTCTGGAAGTTGATTCCTTGGGTTTTCCCACCCTTCCCCCCCCTCCCACCCCACAACTGCCAGCCCCCAAAAGACAATTTGCAAGCTGGATGCTCCGCCAGGAGAAAAGGGGGAAGTGCTGATGGACACTCTCCTCCCTCCAGGCTCAAGATCCCAGCCAGAAATAACACTTGATTTTATTGTATTTTTTTCCTAACCTCACCTTTTCCTGGAGTGCCTGGTTCAAAACCAAGCCCATGTTTCACAAATTAACAGGTTTAGCCCCAGAAAATGCAACGCTTTGGGCAGGTGCTGCCCTCCTGTCCTGAAAACCAGCCGGGATTGATGGCACAACCAGCAACAATGGGAGAAAATGATTGGAGATTTCCCCCAGTCTCACAATTTTCACTGAGCTCTTTTAAAACCATCCATCTCAGTCTCCCAAATCCATCCCAGGAAGAGCCAATCTGCAGAGCAATTGCAGGAGCACAGGCTGGGAGAAAACCCAGCAGAGATTTGCTTCATCTCTACGCTCCCAGACAGGCTCTGCAGCAGGAATCCGCTGGGTTTGCTCCCTCCGAGTTATTCCACTTGGATTCCACCTCGCCCTGCTGCAAAACCTGCCCCAAAAATCTTCCAAGGTTTTCAAGTCACCAAATGCTGAAGGTTTGGTTTGATTGTGGCAGGTAAATGTGATGGCAAAGTCATGCACAGAAATAGAATCTCCAGGGAGGAACATACACAAGAATTCCTAAATTGCAGGGGTTTCCTGGGTGTTTTGCTGCATTTCCCTGCTGTCCAAGTGCTCTCACACTGCTGGGAGACAGGAAAATCCCCAGGCACCTCTGACTTCGTGGGATCCAGAGCTGGATCCAGGGATGGCTCAAATCTTTAGGCACAAAACCTTCCAGACACATCCCCTGGCTGAGGCACTCCTGGCCTGGCAAACCATCCCCTCCTGAGAACAAAGCACAGCCCATTCTGGCACAAACACCCCAAAATGAGGCAGGACCAGCTGGATAATTTTGGGACCCAACCAGAACGAGTGTCTGGGCTCCCCAAACTGCAGCAGATCCTCCCAAACCTCCTTGGTTGTACAGAAGCACCGCAGAGAGCAGGCGAGGCTGAGCCTGAGGGAGCTCTCAGAGCTCAGAGGTCACCACCAGCAGGAGAAATACAGATTTTATCCCTGCCCTGGGGGCTCTCCCTGCCTCCTGCGGGGGGATGGAGCAGAGGAATCACTTCCAAAGGCTCTCTGACCTCTCCCTGGCAGCCTGGGCACGGAGCAAGGGCAGGTGGAGGTGAGCATCTGTGGCTCCTGTGCCTCACAGCTGCCCTGCACTCAAAGCTTTGTTCTGTTTTACAGCACTAAAAGACAAAATAAACAAGCCAGTCATGATTTCACTCGCCTGTGAGCCCGTATTTGCCTACAAGAAAAGCCCCCAAAAGCCACAAGCTTTCCTTTTTATTTACCTCTTTTATCTTTGCTTATTTTCTCTGGTGAAAAGTAACCCAACCTTGGCTCGCTATAAACCCAGGCAGAAACAAAAACCCTCTTGAATTCCTCTTCATTATAAATGGATTGTCAATGTGTTAAATAAATCAGTGAAAATGGAAATCCAAAAATAAATAGCCATCCTGCTGTTGCTATGACAACTCAAATTTTTTACCTGGACAGAGATTTTCTGTTTCACAGTTCGGAATCGCTGAAAAGGAGGGTCGCATTTATTTTTTTTTTTTTAATCCTGGCATATTTCACCACCTACCCCCCAACATAAAAAAAAAGGGGGATTATTTTTGGTTACTTTTTAGCAAATGAGGGGAAGATCAAAGACAGGAGCTATTTTTCACTGCAGACAGGAGAATGGAGACACATTACATTTACAACAACAGAGCTCAGCCCAGAAAGGACAGAGAGCACAAAAAATTTCAGGATTTCAAGGCTTTCATGTGGCCCTTCCAGGCAAAAGGCAGGGCACATATAGAGCAATATTAACACATCTTAAAATCATATTTTGGCTCATTTATTAAGGCAGTTTTACCATGGGAAAAAAGCAACATCACCTCAGAACAGCAATAAATATTTTGCAACTTGTGTCGTTGCTGATGGCAGTGAAATGTGTGTTTAAATGACCCAGACTGCAAAATTAATGCACTTCCTGGTCCTTAAAATGGGAGAAACCAACCCAATTCCCCTTAAATCCACATGGAAAAGCTCAAAGCACTGAAAAATCCCATTTTGCTGCGGAATTATCTCCTGATATACCCTATGTGTGATGGCAAGGAACATTCTGGGGTGGGAAATTGAGGGGAATTCACCAAGAGTTACCTCAGGCGTCACCTGGGACTCCCTGGCCAAGCCCAGCAAAGTCAAATAAAGGTCTTTTATTCCATTTTACCTGCTTTAAAATAATCTACTTGGTATCTGCTTGTCTGGAGCCTGGTGGGTGGATGATTCACAGATCAGAGAACACCTTCATCAAAAAAAAAAAAAAAAAAAAAAAAAAAAAAAAAAAAAAAAAAAAAAAAAAAAAAAAAAAAAAAAAAAAAAAAAAAAAAAAAAAAAAAAAAAAAAAAAAAAAAAAAAAAAAAAAAAAAAAAAAA